GATTCTTGAATGAGTAGTGATAGGTTAATGATTTTTGTAGTTAATTGTAGTCTTCATGACTATTCATGCTCTTATATTGTTACAGTGGAATAAGGATCTTTGGGAAATGAATGGTTCAACTGATCCACACTTGCCCAATCGGTTCTTCATCCATCCAGACTCTAATTGTAGTCTTCATGACTATTCATGCTCTTATATTGTTACAGTGGAATAAGGATCTTTGGGAAATGAATGGTTCAACTGATCCACACTTGCCCAATCGGTTCTTCATCCATCCAGACTCTAATTGTAGTCTTCATGACTATTCATGCTCTTATATTGTTACAGTGGAATAAGGATCTTTGGGAAATGAATGGTTCAACTGATCCACACTTGCCCAATCGGTTCTTCATCCATCCAGACTCTCTTGCACCTGGAGAGAAATGGATGCAGTATCCAATCTCCTTTCACAAGCTCAAACTGACCAACAACACCTTCAACTCTAATGGCATGGTGAGATTTTAGAAATGGGCAAAGTGTAACGGTTGAAAGATTTCTAAAGGTGTTTTCTATTTTTGGGATTGCGTTTTTTAAAAATTTTTTAATGTAATTTTTTTTTTTACCGTTTATACTTCTATTTCTCTCCATGTTCTATAGGTGGTTCTCCACTCCATGCACAAATACCAGCCCCGTCTACACATAGTCCAATCTCCAGACCCCTGTTACCCTCAGAACCCTGGCAGTTACCTGCGCTTCACCTTCCCTGAAGCTGCTTTTATAGCTGTCACAGCCTACCAGAACCAGGAGGTGAGAACAGGCATTTCACACCAGATCAATACTGGAGACCCTTAAAACTGTATGTGAATTACTTTCAGATCTGACCTTCAAAGATATTTTTCATTAGCGTTCCAGTGCCATCTAGTGGGTCGAATTCATGAGGATAAAAGGCCAATTAAAATGTCCATGGTAGCAGAATCTAGTGCCCAGTATAGTGTGGAAAATAAGCAAAACCCATTATTTGTCACAAAATATCAGCAAAACATTTAAGTTGACATCTGAAGACTTCAATGTGTCAGATTTTTATAATGTTTTATTAGTCCATTTTTGTATCATTTATTCGTGTTGACTGGCATGTCTGTGGTTTTTGCTGATGGGACTCTTTGTTTCTCATCCTCAACACAGATCACAAAACTCAAGATTGACAACAACCCCTTTGCCAAAGGCTTTCGTGACAATGGGCTGAACAGAAAAAGGTGAGAGACACTTAAAGAGACACAAAAAGAAGGGATTGAGATCGGTTTTCATGTTTCTTTTCAGGAAAATTCACTCACAAATGTCTCCTTTACAGAATATGACTTCAGGGCTGATATTTTTGTGTGAATAATTATAATTCTTTTCAACCATGTACAGTAGGTAAAGGAGCCAGATTTTCATAATTCCTAATGGCAAATCAAAAAGTATTTAATAGAGCTTACATAGTGTTTCCTGTCCTGACTGTTGAAACTCCAACCCTAATAATCAATTCTGTTATTTTCAGTTAATATAACTTTTTATAATTTCTCCTCTTTAGGTTTAGAGACAAAGAGAGCCAAGAGACCAAGGATTCAGATGGACAGGCCAAACCGGATTTGATGCCAAATGATAGGGATGCACCGATACCACTTTTTCCAGTACTCGCCCGATACCGATACTTTTATTTTTGGTACTTGCCGATACCGATGCCGATACCTATATTTTTATTACATTTGTAAATGAGCATGGTATGATTTCCTGAGAGAATAATAATAATAAAATTCGTTATATTAATGTAGCTTTACATTTATATGCATCAGTGTTTCTTCTTGTTTCTGTTTCTATGACCTGGTGCCCAGCAGAGGGGATTTTTTTTTTTACCTCAATCATGAGGGTCACCTTGAGATTTATTAGCTTTTCCCCCCCCTTTGGACAATTTATGTATTTTTTCTTTTGTCCACAAAAAGTGGGAAAGTCGCAGAATGATGAGGATGTGGATGTGATCGTGTCCAGCTCCGTTGACTGCAGAAGAACGCTGAATTTTTCAGAAGAGGCTTCCTCTGTCATTCCCAACCCTTTCATATCAGCCTTCATAAACGCTAGCACTGCTGGAGGATCTTCACCCCATCAGACACACACCATTCTCAGCCTCAATATAATACACCTGAACAGGTGAGTCTGGCTCTGGTTCTGCCTGGGAATTTTTGTGATGCAGTGAATATCACACTATAATCAAACCATGATATTATGCTGCAGTTCTGCGGAAAAATACTCATTCTTGCTCTAGACTTATGTATTATATTTAATCTTAAAGATTCAGGGATGCAAACTTACCAAGGGGTGAAAAAGGTGACAGAGATAACCATCTAGAAAATAAATTCATATCATCTAAGCTTTAAAATTGGGATTTACTGTCAATTTTAGCATGGCAGGATAGGGGGGAAAAACTCACTTTAGACCCTATGAAGAGGTTTCAAAATATTACTATAGTAATAATACTGTTGTACTGTACAATAAAAATTATTTCATTTTACAGAACAAGAATAAAATTACAAGTGATTCTTAATTTCTTTGCTTTCAAATGTTAAGCCATAGAGCTTTTATTTTGGCTTAAAAGTTTGGATTCAAAATTGCAGTTTTTTTTTTTTTGCTGAAAAGTGAGACATTTGGATCCCTGGAGATTAAATTTATTCTCAGTTTATTACTTTTTAGACAACTACATCAAGATAATTAAACACAGCATTGTCCTCCCAAATACTATTACTACTGAACATTACTATTACAAAATAAATGAATGAAATATATTATTATATATTACTATATAATACTATTGTACTGTTAAATAAAACATATTTAATAATAAATATAACTGAAACCTATTTAATAATTTGAGAATTTCCTTGTACAGAACAAGTAAAATTACAAGTAAAATTGTTCATTTCTTGGTTTTCAAATGTTAAACCATAGAATTTTTATTTTGGCAGAAAACCTACTTTTAGATTTGTATCTGCACTGAAAAGTGACAAGTTTGTATGCCTCAAGATTAAAATGATTCTCAGTTTATAACTTTCTAGACAACGGCTACATACAGACTTGACCGTTTCGTCCTCCAAAATAATGGTGTCAATTTTTTTTCCAAGTCCCAGAGAAGCCAGACCCTCCAGCCTCCATAGTTTGTGTGCAGCTCTGCCTGTGTCCCAGAGCTCCTGTGTCCAGTCCTCCACAGGAGACGGCCACCTCAGCACACTGCCATCTCAGATCAGCAGCTCTCTAAACCCTCAGCAGCACAATCAACACAGCAGCCCATCCTCTCAAACCCCAGGCAGATCCATAATCCAGCTCCAGCCTTATTTTCGGACCCCTCCCCATCCCTCACGACAATGTCCCGACATGGAGCTGCCCCTCCCTCTGCCTCCTAAACTGAGCCACATGCAACTCCCTGGAAGTGCTCTGAGGAACCTGGAGATGACCCCAGTCTCCGACTATGTCCGAGGCCCCTCACCAACATCCTTAACAGGATCCATTTTCGAACTTTAGTCTCAGGGCCATCAGGGAAGGTCCTGCAAAATCCCCCCCAACCTGAGCAGTACCTCCGTGGCTCAGACCGAGAGCTGCATCTGCAGATTTATCCAGCGGTTCAGAAATACACTGATCAGCAGTTCACATTAAACAGCATGCTGAACATCCAGACTGAACGCAGATCACAGATGGACTATGTCAGTGCCAGACCACTAACTGAATACTACAGTGATCAGCAGACTGGGAAATGAAGTTTTTCAGGCATCATCTAATTACGACTCATTTTGTTGCTCATTTCCAGCAGAGACTGCACTGCTCTGCATTACTAGATTACAAAAAAATAAAAACACCGAGGGCTTCCCAACCAAAGAATGTAAATATTATTTTCAGTGGGATATGAGGTTGTTGTTAACTGTCACTAATGTCCATATTTATGTTTAGTCTGTTACTATCTGCCTGAACTTTAAACTGTACTGTCTAAACGTCAAACGTCTAGGGCAGTGGTTCCCAATCCTAGTCCTGGAGAACCCCCAACTCTGCACGTTTTTGGTGTCTCTCTTATCTGACGCTCACATTTGAGGTCTTGGAGCAGTGATTGGAGCAAATTTCCTGCAGAGTTTAGCTCCAACCCTAATCAAACAAACCTACCTGTGATTTTCTTATGATCCTGAAGACATTGATTAGCAAACTCAGGTGTGCTTGATTAGGGTAGAGCTAAACTCTGCAGGAAAGTGGATCTCGCGAGCCAGATTTGAGGATCACTGTCTTGGAGTCTTCACTGAGTTGAATCAGGTGTGTTTGAATAGGGAGACATCTAAAATGTGCAGTGTTGGGGGTTCTCCAGGACCAGGATTGGGAATCACTGGTCTAAGGCAAGGCAACTTCCTAGTTGTAAAACTGAAACAAACATTTCCTTTTTAAAGCTGCTTTGAAATGATATGTACTGTGAAAGTGCTATACAACTTGAATATTTCTTTTTCTAAATCTGCTTTTAAACAAAATGATTTTTAATCAATTAATTCATTTTCTGTGAACTTCGCTTAATCTACACAAGTTGTTGGTTAACCACTCCATCTCACACGGAACACCCACTCTTCATTATCCATTTCCCACCCTAATGTTTTTCCCTTGATTATTCTCTGTCACTAGGAAATTTTCATTACAGAAGCAAAATGAGCTGTAGACTGAATTTCATTCAGAGTTGTAATTGACTTCAAGTAATTCTGCAGACCAGAATGTCTGAAGAAAATCTAGATCACACTTTTGTTGTTTCCATCCTAATTTCTGATCCTGTGTGTTTTTTTTTTTTTTTTTTTTAATACATTAAACTTAATACAGAGTTCTGGGTTAAGTTTGCATTTTTTTAAAAAGTCATCACAAATATAACTTTTCTTAGCAATGTAAACACACACCATAGACGCCACTGACATTAATGTGCATGTATCGGTCTAGTGTAAAACAGCAAATATTTCACACGGGAAAAAGACAAATAAATCAAGAAGGAATTTATTGACTGTGATCAGAAACAGATTTCTTATTGGATACATAACTTGTATACTATATATTCATTCTAGAAGTTATAGGCATTAACTATATGCACTGCTATATAACACATTCTCAATATGTGACTGTTAGTGGTGGAAACATCACAAATCTGGAACAAACACACTCCGCTCAGAAACAACAGCTCTCCTTAGTTTAGATTAAGCATAGAAAAGTTTTTGAAGCCTTAAGTTGATTTTAAATGTGTGCAACATCTTATAAACAATGTCTACATTGTTCCACAGTTTCCTTTTCCCAGTTGAAACAGATATTCATGTCATAATAACAAACACACTTCATTTTGAAGAATGAAAATTGAACAATTTTAATGAACTTGTTTCTGACAAACAAAACATTTTTTCACAAATATTTTTGCCAAAGTGTACTGTAAAAAAAACTAACTTTATATTTGGCATCTGATTATGAACAAAAGATCAATAACAAAAGACCGGATCATTTATAAAATAAATGTGGATATACTGTTTGACCTAATGATGTTTGGCAAACTGATTTGCATAATCATGACATAATGGCAAACTGAAAATCAGAAGAAAACAAAACACTAAAATATAGTCACTCTCAATGGAAAAAATTGCTAAAGCGGAGTTAAATTTCACATATACCTGACAGAGCGCTCACATTATCCGGATGTTGATAACTAGTACTTTAGGAATAAAGAATACATGTGACATTATTTTAAATATTGCAGTTAAAACATAAAAAAGAGGAAGTCCTGACATAATCAAAATGCATCACTGAATAAAAAAAAAAACTGAAACTATTCAATATGGGGAAAACTCCTTAAGGCATAGAGTATCTTCAAGGAAACTATGGACATGGTAGATGTTCAACTTCAAATGCACAGCGTATATCAATCTCCAAACTTCTGGATTTAACAGTAGACAAAAGAGTGCTCTGGGATCTGTACTGTCAGTTTGGCTGCAGTCATAATATCTTACTTGCAGCTTTATCATCTGCATAAACATTGGGTGAGGTAAATTACGTGAGGTTTTCTGCAATGAAAAATAAATATACTTTTCTAAATCCTGATAATTCAGCATGTTTTGGCCTTTGCTTGGCATCTTGGTAAAACTGCATTTGGACCACTATTTATTATCCAAAAATAGGCAAAACATTCTCAAAGAATATACATACAGATCCGATTATGAATCGCATGGCGTAGTTTCTCATGATTGACTGCACAGTGAAAGTGTGATTTGACCTTCAACCCTAAAAGCAAACTTTTAAAAGGTAACAAACTGATTGTTTTCATCCCACTGTAAAAAAAATATCAAATTACTAGAGCGCTTCATGTTTGAACTGTGCAAAAAAGATGTTTACAAATGAACCTATGTCTAAATGTATTGGTTAGATAAACTAAAAGTCAGTCCTCCTCATTCCTGTGTCACTATTTGTCCTGAACAGCAATGTCTTCACAATGATGAACGATTTCAAAGGCCCACTAAACATGCTGTAACAAACCTAATGGCTCTTCTACACTATGCTTCTATATATCTTCATACATTGCATAAATGTAACTGTGAATAAAACCTTAGCTACCCATTAAAATGGGAATACATCCTTATCTTCTAAATCACTACATGCACATACTGTAGATCTGCAGCTGCCCACTGGTGAATATATGATACAGTTCTGAGATTAACAAAAAAACTATAATTGTGGTATGTCGTTTGAACAAAAAAAAAGCAAATAAACAGACAAAAAAGGATATAAGTGACAATACAAGAGCACGTGCAGAGAATCTGGTCCTGAAGAGGTAAGGCACCAGGGGTCTAAAAAAAATCAAAGCCTCATTTCTGTAAAAAGAAAACAGCTTTCAAGTGTTTCTTTTCAAGGCAATCAATGTGGGAGTGTCGGAAAGGCAGCAGTGTGGAAGGAGCGTGTTCAAGCTTGAGGACTGATCATCTTCTGAAGCAAAGGGATCTGTAGAGAAACGACACATTTATTTACATGATTATTTGTTTATTTTTGATCAAATGAATGCAGCTTCCATTTAAAAAAAAATCTTAAAAGTCACTAAATGTTTGAACAGCAGTTTATATGCAATGTATTCACCTTGGACAGATCCACCCCAGTGAGGGCGTTTACAGAAACAGGTAGTTCAGCCAACAGACGATTCACTTCCCCAGTGACACGGCCACCGTCGCCGCTCAGGATCACAATCTCATTGGTACGGCTCAAGGGTGCTGCCACCTGTGCAGCAATCTGTGACACAAAAAAACTCATTCAGCTTTATTCTTCAGAGTATCATCTTTAAAACTGCAGTCTGTAAGTTTTGCCTCTTTGTCGCCATCTCTGTTTGAAAACCTGCAATTGCAGCTGTGTGCGGAATTATATTCCATGCGTGGGGTTGTGCTCCAGCGCGGATGAATCTAATGTTTTGAGGAGTATGTGTGTGTGGCAGTCAGTCACTGCACCGGTGTGGATATTTACTGTACTTCGCAATCACAGATTCTAGCCTACGTCTTGGAATATATGACCCAAATAAGAATTTTCACCGTATACTGTCATCTAAACAAGTAACAAGTCTGCCACGTTTGTTCTGACCAACTGAGGAAAAAAAGGATTACAATAAATCGTGCTACCAATGGTGATTAAGGCCCAATCCCAATTCTATTTTATACCCCTTCCCCTTCCCCTAGGAATTGGGACACCACTACTATATGTCACACGTCATCATAGTCGTCTAGCTCCTACAATAAACACACCTATACTGGTGTGCTGGTGTGAATTAGAGCTTTTAATTACCGTTCTATATTAATGCGAAACTCTAAAAAGAGAAACGCACAGACGCGCATACACGCAAATTTAATCTCTCTCTCTCTCGAATTGGCAATATTTGAGGAAAGGGTTTAACAATTTCTAATTATTGGGGGTACTAGCCCTCCTCAATGTCTATGGTGGTTATCGCCCTGATCAGACATGAAAATACAGTATGTTATGGCACTATCGTGTAGTCTGTAATGATATGACGTTAGCAAACTTTAGCGATTTTTTGCAAACATTTCTTTGAGTAAGGGAAAGGGGAAGGGCTAAGGGGTAGAATTGGGATTGTGCCTAATTGTAACGATCGGTTAGCTCATATCACTTCAAACCGTGCAAATTATTATTATTTATACTTTGTTCTCAAATTATTAATGTTAACATCAGCATTGCGTGACTATGAGTATAGTGTGTATTAGCGTGTGATTTCAGTTTCTGTACAGTCTAATCTCAAATTGTCATACCATTCGAATTTCATATTAAGAAATTCTTTTAACCGAAAAAGCAAATTATGCTCCCTTTGAACTGGTTTTCTTTAAAATACAGATCTTGAGTAATCCCAGGCTATCTGTAATCAGACGCACATTTACAACTGGAATATAATTTAATTTCATTCACATGTGTTTCATAAACATAATCCTTTCTGGATTAAAATCCGCCATCAAAATGATAAATGTAATTATTCCGGCTGCTGTGAGAAAAGGCTATAAACGATCCGCCACCTGCAGGATCCTCACATGCGATAGCCTAGTAGCCGGGACAACTTCTTTATGTTTACAGATGTGACGTAATGACGCAGTGCCATGCTCGAATTTCCCGCGAAAACCTACCCGTACCACTCAAATTAGAAAACATTATTATAAGCTGACCGTTATGAATCGGACTAAAGGAAGGCGATAGTTTTGAACATTGCCTGGTCATGTACTTGCTCAAACATTAATTTCGGATCATTTTTAACCAAAAAAAGTTACGGACTGCAGCTTTAAAAAACGACTTGAAGTTAGCATTTTAACTATTGGTAGTGTCGGAGAGGTCTGATCCCACTTAAAGATTTGCAGAGAAAAACAAAACAAAAAATTGGAGCACACTGCATCTGTAATTACTGTAATCTCATTCAACATTTGTTCAGAAGTTCCCAGACTTCCACATACCTTTGGCAGAGCCTCAAGGACGAGGGCAGTCTTTGCAGCCTCCCCATACTGCTGATAGGCCTCAGCTTTGACCCTCATCTTCTCTGCTTCAGCTTTACCCACAGCCTCAATGGAGCCGGCCTCTGCTTCTCCAATACGCTTGATCTTCTCCGCTTCAGCCTGTGCCGTCAACACCTTCTTTATCCTGACAGAGCGGAGCAGAAGACAGAATGGCTTCATGAGGCCTTTGCTATCTGGCTCCCTTAAACTATATACCAATTGTACATATTAGGGATGTCAATTTTCGATCATTTCCATGATCGATCGTCGTTTAAATTAACGATCAATTAATCGATTAATCGTTAACTTCAATGCAGCAAAATGCGTCTATTGCAGCAGCATGCAGTCAGCATGCCAGGATGTGCCGCAGTCAGTGAACCGCTTCCATCGGCGCTGCTGCAGCAAAACACACTGTTGCTAACATGAAACATTTTTATGTGAGTATTATGACCAGTACTTAATTTGATCCTGCTGGATCCTGTTCCGGAAAATGTCAGATTTTAAATTTTTGCGTTCCGGTAGGCCTATTTGTTTTTAAAAAGCCAGCAATTACAATGCATTAGATCGTGACAGTGCATGTGTGCATGCATACGAGACGGAGCGAGCGCGGGTTTGGCTGGATGTATTTGGAGGTTATTACTCACGTCTCATTCGGCACAAATACAAATGTTTCCATATTCGCAATGTACTTGAATGTTAAACTATTATTTATAATGAAAACTAGGCTTGTACTTTACACGCATTCGCATATAGACGGAAAAGATCATCCTCTTCACATGAGCAAAAACGTCCTTGGCATAACAGCAGAGTGGACCGGTATACTACGGTCTATTTAAACTGACCAGTGTAACCTTTTATATGTTTGGTTTACTGTATTTTATTTTGATAATGAACAGACTGCGATGTAAGTCTGAATTGCTAGAATATGTGGGGTGTGTGCGCGCGAGGCGCCGGTGCGATTGAACAGCTGAAACATAAAAAAATACATTTTTGAAGTAAGATATAATCCGCAAAAGTGTTTACTTTTAATTTTTGCACACTCACAATAAAAACAAGATTTGTGCTTTTGCAAAGTAAAGCAAACAAACAGAATGCGCGTTGTCATCCTTTCCTTTCCGTGAACTTGTTTATGGAGCGCCGCGCCACACTTCTGTTTTAAATCTGATAGCTTAATTATTTAAGTCAGATATATTTCGCTTTTTTTTTAAAATGAAAACAAATTGTTATTTTTATTTAGGCCTATTGCTTACATAGGCTACACATTTTCCTTAAAGAATCCCATTTTGTCCCAGGGCTTGAAAACCTGTGCCCTAGCTAGTTAGGTCCATGCAGAAACTTGTGAACGATGCTCTTAGTTGTGGCATCACCGTTTAGTGACACCATTGAATGCTCCGAGAAAACGTATAGTCAAGTGTCGTCACAGCGCCTTTTAATTGCTGTTTTGAATCCAGCAATTATTTATTTACAAATTATAAGCTCTGATTATGACAAGTGTGGTATAAAAGCTTTGTTTATTAGAGGAATATTTGGTTAGCTGGAAAATCTTACATCGCGACCATGATTTTGGATGCCGTTTGAGCCCATATAGCCTACATTTATGCGGCTTTGTTCTTGGTCACGAATTTCCACAAATTCAATAATATTTAGGCATTCTTTCTTTTCCTAAATCCTCACTGTCTAACCCTCTAATTTCGCAGGTTTATTTTATTGTCATTCACTTTTTATCACTGGTTTCGCATCTCTTACGGTGGTAAACATGCGGAAGGATAATGAAAGATTTCATGGCCATGAATTAAGAATTCGTTCAATGTATTAATTTGTTCCCTCATTTTAGTTAAATCATGGGTTAAGGAACAAAATTAATGAAACATGGACAGTGGCCACAAATAAATAAGTCGTAGGAATTAATTAACAATTTGTAGG